GGACACTCGGAGCCTGCGGGCGCGGAGGGATCCCAGAGCCCAGCGGCCAGACTCCTCCTCCCGCACGCCCTTCAGAGATGATGGAAAAATCATTGAAGAATTTTGATCACTGGGCTGACAGTGAGGAGGATGGATTGGAAAGAGAGAGTGTGTGTATAAATCAAGGTCAGAATGACCAGGTAAGAGGTATTATTAGTATCATTATTTCAAGGAAATGTATGAGGTGAACTGAAACATTGGCCATGGGGATGGAACAAACATTTAAAACAAAGATTTATATATATAAAAGCCTAAGTGACCATTACAGCAGAATGACTGGAATGACTAGTCGCTATGCCATGCACTGATCACCAGGGGGCAGACTCTCAATGCAGGAGCTGCCCCCTGGTGGTAAGTGCACTCTCACAGCCAACCTCCTGCGGCCCCTCCCCCTGGCCAACTGGCCCCCATTGGCCCCTGGTGCTAAACCAGTGGTCAGCAAACTGTGGCCTGCAAGCCACATGTGGCTCTTTGGCCCCTTGAGTGTAGCTCTTCCACAAAATACCACGTGCGTGTGCGCATGTACAGTGCGATTGAAACTTTGTGGTCCATGGGCACAAGTCAGTATTTTGTGGAAGATCCACATTCAAGGGGCCAAAAAGCAGCATGTGGCTCACAAACTGTAGTTTGCTGACCACTGTCAGCGAAACCATTTTAGAGATCTGCTTCTGGGTTGGGGTTTCCTACGTAGCAGAGCAGCTCCCTCGCTGCAATCTATTGAAAGTCACCCCTCGACACAAGGGTTTGTCTCACTCCCATCCTCTCCATTCCCCAGGGACTACCCACCTGCTGCAGTGGTGGCTTGGCAGTGAGGGAAGGAGGAAGAGGGGAGGCTGGGAACTGCCCCAGGGACTGTTGCCTCCTCTCCCAACCTCATCAGGGCCCTTGGGCCCAGGCTGGTATGGGGAACCGGGGGTGAGTGGTGGCAGATGCAGTCCTTTTCCCAGGGGGGCCGAGGGCCAGCTCCCACCTTGGGCTGACGGCCAACTTCCTGCAGCCCCTCCCCTGTATGGCTAACCTCCCATGATCCCTCTCCTTGCCCCTCTCCCCCTGCCAGCAGGCGCTGATGGCCCATGGTCCCTCTCCCCCTCCCGCCGGCCAGCCAACCTCCAGTGGTCTCTCCTCTCCCCCTCCCATACACGAATTCATGCACTGGGCTTCTAGTTTGAGATAAAAGTAAAAAAGACTTGTTAACTGAAACATTTGAGAAACAAGAGTCTATTAAAACCATTGAACTGAAGAAGGGGTTTTAATGATTACTTTTTAAAAAATATATTTTTATTGATTTCAGAGAGGAAGTGAGAGAGAGAGAGAGAGAGAGAGAAATATCAATGATGAGAGAATCATTGATTGGCTGCCTCCTGCATGCCCCCTAATGAAGATCGAGCCCGCAACCCAGGCACATGCCCTTGACTGGGATTGAGCGCAGAACCCTTTCGTCCAAAGGCTGATGCTCTATCCACTGAACCAAACCAGCTAGGGCAATGATTACTTGGTTTAAATGAGAGAGCTGTGTGCATGTTTATATGTCAAAGAGAATATTGAATGAATGAATATATACAAAGGTTAAATTTTATATAGAAGCAAAGTAATACATTCACCGTAAATTTCTTAATTTACGTGATGTGGTTTATTTATTAAATGAACGTTCTGGGCTTTATGCAAGGTTCTTTGGGGAATAAAAATATATCACAACCACATGTTGATTGATGTTATGAAGAAAAAGCAGGATGAGGCTAGATACTTAAGAGGGTGGTGTTTTAGAAAAGATGGTTGTAGAAGGACTTTGAATTGAAATTTGAGCAGTAAACTAGGTGGATGGTAGAGGTCATTAATTTCCCTGTCAAAGTCTGGGGAACGGGTTTGTTGGGCTCGAATTGAAAATTCAGTTTTGACTAGGTTAAGTTTGAGATACCTATTAATATCCAGGTAGTATAGTCGAGTTGCATGTTTGAGTATTGATTTCATGAGTTTGTAGTTGAAGATAATATTTGAGAGTCTTCAGCATACACATGGAATTTAAAGCAGTGGAACTGAATGGGATATGGAGAAATCCCATATGGATGTTGGGGGAGGTAGAGATGGAGGATCGAGTCCTGAAGTTAAGTTTTAGAGATTGGGAAGATGAGGAATTATCCAATAAAGGACACTAAAAAGAAACAGCCAATGACGTAGGATAAAAATGAACAAGAAAAAGGAATTCATGAACTGTATGAAATGCTAATGTGTGATCCAGCAAGTTGAAGTCAGTAACAGCATAGTTTTTGCTGATGGGAGAAGTCCAGTAGAGGGAGGAAAATAATTGCTGTGAAAGAGATCAGGGTGGAATTGAAGAACAAAGCCTTTCAATGGGCAACAAGGTATGCAATCCAGTGCTCAAAAGCGTTGGCCTTAGTTAAAAACACTGTCTTTTTAGCTAAACACAACTTCATGCACACGTGCATGCACACTCACATATCTTCATTGTATGCTTCATGCACCCGCTATTTTCAAAGCTTTCACTTTTACAGAATCATATTCATAAAGCACTTTCCCTAGGATTTTAAGGAGAGTAGTCGGGAGGGCAATAATAATGATTCTGGTTTGCAATTCAGTCAGCCAATCTTTGTGGTCCACTGGAAGCTCTATGATGAAATAAATGGAGAGCATAGTTCATTGTTTTTCTGTAGCACAACACAATAGCCTTAGGTGTAGTAGGGGGTAGGAGATGCTGCGTTGTATACCCAACATTAGAAACCTCTCCAAAGTACTGAGCTATCTTAGTCACTGTTACAGTTGCTCTTTTAAGTCTTTTTGAAGTGTCAAAGGTAGAATAACTACTTTGGGTTTTGAAGTGTTTTGTTGAGGAGCATCTTGATCATCTACCATGTATGAGAATCTACTTTATCTCAGTATTGTCTCTAGAATTTAGTACAGTGTGGCTTTGAGTAGCAAAGCAGTAAAGCCGGGTAGGGGCAAGGTTATCTTTTATATCGGGGTGGTCAAAAGTAGGTTTATAGTTGTTCATATGGAAAATAATACAATAATAAATAAATAATAATACAAGAATAACTCTGTGTTTCACGTACTCACAACCAGAATCCTTTTGCTCACCCCTATACATTCCACCTTCATTGCAACAAGTAGGGTCCAATAAGTGGTGTGTGTGTGTGTGTGTGTGTGTGTGCACTAGAAACAGTGTGTAATCAATACTATGAATGCAAACAGCAGAAACAGACTGAGAGGGACCAACAGGAGGGGGGGTGGGAGGGGAGGAGTTATGGACCACAGATATACTAATTTATTTTAAAAGCATTTTCTTCCTACTTCCCACTTCTTGGAGGCTAATGTATAATGGACTAAAACTGTGGTTCGGTGTAGAGGACACCTGCTTCTGTGAGCCCTGCAAGTAGATATTCCTTGAGTTTTCCCTGACACTGACTCCTCCAACGTTCAGAAGGATCACCATGTTTCTGCATCTTTTTTGGGGAATCCTCCCTGCACAAGGCTGCTTCGTAGACTTGAGAGGGCCTGCTGAGCATGTGTGAACAGTCCCGCGCATGCTCCGTGGAGTTGGCAGATTTAGCCTGGCGCTGGCAGTGGCTTTTACTACTTCTCTCCAGCCTCCCTCCCTCCCCTACCCAGCACGCCCCCCTCCCCTCGGTCCCACCTCCCACCACGCGGTCCTCCAAACTCGCTCCCGCCCCTCTTTCCCACACCCCTGACACCCCAGGCTAGGGAATCTCCATTGACGTTCGGGTGACGTTATCGTGCCGCCGTGGGGTGTGTGTGTGTGTGTGTGGGGGGGGGTTGTCCAGGCGCTGCACAGGTAAAGCCGCCGCTGCCGCCATATTGACAGAGCTTGGAGCGGGGAGGGTGCTCAGGGAAACAGGGTGGGGGCGGGGGTCACCGCCAAGCGACAAGCACGGCGGCGGAGGCAGTGGTGAGCGGAGCCCAGCGGCAGCTCCCGGAGAGACAGCGCGGAGTTGTCTTCTCTATGGGGAGCAGCAGCCTGTGGCGGAGGTGACCTCTGGCTCCCAGCCTCGGAGGGACCCAGTGGCTAGAGTAGCGGTCGCTGCAGGCGGGGCTGGAAGGTCCTGGCGGCGGCAGGAAAGCTCTACAGACAGGATGCACAGCGGGGCCGGTGGTCGGCAGCTCCTGTTCCTGTGCTTCTGAAGGGGTGATGTTACCATTCGCTCCTCAGGAGGAGCCCTGGGATCAAGACATGGAGGTGTTTGGTGGCGGCGCGAGCAGCTGCGAGGTTAGTGTGGTGGCCGAGGGGGGCTGGAGCCACCCTCCTCCTTCCCTCCGGATCCTGGCGGGGACTCCAGAAAGAAGGGGCGTGGGGCTGGGGAGCAGGGTGCCCAAGCAAGCCCTCTGGAGGCTGCAGGAGGGTTAAACAAGCGCTGTCCCAACTGTGCCTTCCCTCTGAGCAGGCAGGGACTAGCTGGCAGGCTCAGTTGTGGAGAGAGTGCCTGCCTCGCTGGCTGCTCTGGAGTTGTGACTTAAGTTTCTGCACTTAGCGATCTAGAGTGGGACTAGGGGATGAGCCAGGTGTCGCGCTGGGTTCGCGTCTCTCTGCACTCGCTGGGAACACTTTGGGGGACAGCTGCTAACTTCAGCTCTCTGTTGAAGCGTGGGTGTTTTAGGAACCCAGGGCAACAAAAACACCAAGTTGACTAAGTAATTGGGGACATTTGCAACTAGGGATGAGTGCGCCTTACTTGTTTTTTTTTTTCATTTCTGTGTGGCTTGTGTCTTTTTTGTAACAACCCCAGTGTCGATTAACTGGACGCCAGATTTCTTAATCTACATTCAGGTGATGTTCTACTGCATCCTCTGCGGTCCCCTCTTTCCACCGCCCCTTTTCCTCCACCCCTTCTTTCTGCCTTTCACAATTGTTGTCCATGCCACCCCATTGTTCCATAAAAGACACATAGTAAACTCCAGCCCTTATATAATGTATCTTTGGTAAGACAGTGAGATTTAACCATAATATTTTGGTTCTCCTCTCTTCCTGCTCCTCTTCTGAAACTGTTGTGGTTGAACTTTGATCAGCTGTGCAGTGAGAACTTAGATGTGCACAAGTACTTCGCTTTCTCGTTGTTTGTTTGTTTGTTGTTGTTGTTGCTATTAAAAGCTGGCAGCATTTAAGCACAATAACTACACTTTTGGGATAGAAAGTCAGATCTGATAACTTAATTGATTGACATCCTAGTACTACAGTAGAGGCCACCATAGACCTTCTAAAAATACTTGAATGCCAAACTGACTCCCAATAGGGTCTTTTGAGGAAGGACTTGAAATCCTCAGTGTCTCAAGGTGCAAATATGTCTTTAAGTATCATTCCATCCTTAAAAATACACTTTGGACTCTTGTCTAACTCATTCTTTTTTCCTTTCAAATTTCCAACTGAACTGGGTTAAAATTACATGCCAGAGTAACATTTAACAAGAATGTAGTAGAAACACATTCAGTTGTCTAAAGTTGAGTCCTCTCTACTTATAGGGAATATTTTACTACAGAATTAAGCAATTCCCAAAAACATCTAATATTCTACATCTATTAAGAACAGGACAAATGAAGAGGGGTTCATTTCTTTTTGGAATGTAGGGATGTTTTATACTTCCAAGAATTTTCTGCCAGACTATTCAAGAGCAGAGGAATTACTGTTGTATTCATGTATGTAATCTACTGACATAGACTCAGGTGACTGGTTTACAAGACAACTTGAATAAGGATGGGGTGGTGTCTGGGTAGCCTTTCACATGCCTACTATTTTATTATTTTTTGTTAACTTTTACTGTATGTGTTTTTGTTCTTTATATTTATTTTAAGTGTTTTCTATTGTAATTATCACACATGGTTTTTTATTGTTTGCAGTATGTTTTAGATATAGTAGAGATTTAACAATGGGTCTTTCTACTTCAGCAATTTGGAAAAATACTCCAGTGGAAATTGTTAATCCCTATGAGTAAAATGAAAGGTGAAGGTAATGTGGTGAAGATAGTATTTCTACATTCTTTGCCTGAAACAGTTATGATTGTGTAGATTTAACCCTGCAAGTGAGTTAATTCAAATATTCTAGGTGAAAACTAAATGCTACATATAAACAGGCCTGCTTAGTATTTAGTAGAAGTTTTTGTTGTTATTTGTTTATAATGGTATTCTTTTGAGAAGTTATATTTATTCTAATTACATGTTTGTTGATGTTGACTTTAGAAATGTTAATCTTTGAGCATGAGCTTTGCGGCCTTCAATTGTGATAGTTTTGGGGACTAAGGTTGCTTTCATTGTAAATATATATTTTGAAAATATGTTGACATTCTTAAATAAAACCTAATAATCTATTAATTTTAATGTGAAAGGAAGTAATTTCTGTGTGTGTTGAATCATGATAAAATTAAAGATTATATACACTATCATAGATTATGGAGTCTTTCCTAATATATTTTATCTGTCTTGTTTCATGGGTCATTGTTAACCTTTGAATTATCATTCAGAAGTGTGAAAATTGGTTGTTTGAGACTTAACATGTTTTCCCACAGGAAAAATTATTAAGGGTAGTTACATTTTCAGACCAGTGCACAATGGAGAGGTAGAATGATGAAGAGCTTAAACACTGTAGAATTGCTCTATGGAAAAATGTGTTGGAGGTTTCAAACAAGAACTAGCTTGGTTCCAGTGAGAAGTGCATAATGGCCTGAAAAGGAAATATGGGCTCTGTTCGCTACTGGAAAAAAGGTTCATAGGTAGGTCGATGCTCAACCACCGAGGTACACTGGAACTGGCTGTACCACAGCTTTTTTATCTACTCATCTACTTTCCAGATCTTTAGCTATTGTAAATTGCATTGCTATGGATGTAGGGTTGCATACAATTTTTCTGATTGGTGTTTCGGATTTCTTAGGACATTTTCCCAGAAGTGGGATCACTGGGTCAAATGAAAGTTCTATATTTAATTTTTTTCTTCCATTATGGAAGACACTCCATACTGTCTTCCATAATGGCTGCACCAGTGTGTATTCCCACTAGTGGTGTACAGCACTTGTCATTTGTTGATTTGTTGATGGTAGCCATTCTGGCAGGTGTGAGGTGATACCTCATATGGTTTTAATTTGCATCTCTCTGATGATCAGTGAATTTGAACATTTTTCAAATGTTTCTTGGCCATCTGTATGTCCACTTTGGAGAAGGGTCTATTTAGGTCCTTTGCCCAGTTTTTAATTGGATTATTTGTCTTCCTTTTGTTAAGTTGTATAACTGATTTCCTTGTATATTTTGGAAATTATCCCCTCATTGGATGTATCATTGGCAAATATGATCTTTCATGCAGTGGTCTCTATTTTCATTTTGTTGATGTTATCTTTTGCTGTGCAAAAGCTTTTTATTTCAATGTAGTACCATTTGTTTATTTTCTCCTTAGTTACCTTTGCCCTAGGACAGTGATGGTGAACCTATGACACTCATTTTTTTTGTTGATTTTTCTTTGTTAAATGACATTTAAACATATAAAATAAATATCAAAAATATAAGTCTTTGTTTTACTCTGGTTGCAAAGATCAAAAAATTTCTATATGTGACACAGCACCAGAGTTAAGTTAGGGTTTTTCAAAATGCTCACACGCCGAGCTCAAAAGGTTCGCCATCACTGGGTTAGGGCAATATCCTGTTTTTATA